CTCAAAAAAAAAAAAAAAGGATCAATGAAAAATGGAAAGTAGACTGGCTGGCCATGGGGGCTCATGCCTGTAAGCCCAGCACTTTGGAAGGCCAAGGTTGGAGGATTGCCTGAGACCAGGAGTTCAAGACCAGCCTGGTCAGCATAGCAAGACCTCGTCTCTACAAAAAAACAAACAACAACAACAAAAAAACTAGCCAAGCATGGTGGCATGCTCCTGTAGGTCCAGCCACTTGGAAGACTGAGGTGGAAGGATTGCCTGAGCCCAGGAGTTCGGAGTTCGAGGCTGCAGTGAGCTATGATTGTGCCACTGCCCTCCAGCCTGGGCAAAAGAATGAGACCCTGACAACAAAAGAAAAAGAAAAATGGAAAGAAGTCAAGAGAGCTGGAGCTAATGCTATGAAAGTGAGGTTTCAGCAGGAGAACTATCAAAGAAAACCAGAGCTGGACAGTTCTGGTTAAAGCAGTAAAAACAGATTTTATTTAGGACTATTGCAGTAGGGGAAAAGAGACCTTAGAATAGAACTGGGCTTACCTCCGAGAACAGCATGGGCAAGTGGAAATTTATAGGCAAGGAGCAGGGTGGGGGGTCAGTGGATGGAAAATTACTAAGAGGAAACATCAGGGACAAATGGAGATTCTGACTAAAGCAACCTGACAGAATTCTTGCTGAAGATGGGCCAAGGTGAACAGATCTCACCTGGTGAGTGGTGAAGGAGGAGGAACCCAATCAGATATTAAGCATGATCAGATATGGAAGATGGAGGACTCCTGATGAAATTGGATAATGCAGAGGTGAACACGAAGTCCAAGGCCAAGTTGAAAAAGAGTTCGGGAGAGCCTGCATAGAGTTTGTCGAAGGAGATTGAATCTTCGTCTGAGTGACTCATTCAAATACACTCCTTTGTTTTGTTTTTTTTTTTTTTGAGTTGGAGTCTCACTCTGTCCCCCAGACTGGAGTGCAGAGACCGCTCCCGGCCACCACAGCCTCGACCCGCTGGGTTCCAGCGATCCTTCCGCCTCAGCCTTCTGAGCAGCCGGAATTACAGGCACGCGCTACCACACCTGGTTGATTTTTTGATTTATTGTAGAGATGAGGTCTTGCCAAGTTGCCCAGGCGGGGCTCGAACCCGCGGGCTCAGGCCATTCACTCACCTCAGCCTTCCAAAGGCGCGGGATTACAGGCTGAGCCACCGAGCCCGGCTTGTTTGTCTTTCGAATCGGAGTCTCACTCTGTCACCCAGGCTAGAGTGCAGTGGCACAGTTATGGCTCACATAGCATCTACTTCCTGGGCTCAGGCGATGCTTCTACTTCAGTCTCTTGAGTATCTGGAAATACAGGCATGCACCACTATGCCTGGTTAATTTTTTTTGTAGAGGCAAGGTCTTGTTGTGTTGTGTCTTGGGCTCCTGGGCTCAAACAATCCTTCCACCTCAGCTTCCCAAAGTGTTGAGATTATAGGCGTGAGTCACGACTCCCAGTCCAGATTTACTTTTTTGTTTTATTTATTTATTTATTTTTTACTGTAGAGATGAGGTCTTGCCAAGTTGCCAAGGCCGGTCTCGAACCCGTAGGCTCAGGAAATCCTCTCACCTTGACCTCCCAAAGTGCCACCACCGCCTATTGTTTTATTTTAAAGACAAGTTTAATAACATATAGTTATGGGAAGTAAAATTCATTATTTTTGGCATGCAGCTTTATGAATCATGACAAATCCATCAGTTGCATAGCCAATACCACAGATAAGATATAAAACAGTTCAGTCACATCAAAAACAAAAACCAAAAAACACCTCCTTGTGCTGCCCTTTAGTGGTCAAGCCCTCCCACGCCCAAGGCAACCACTGATCTGCTCTCTGTGGTTAGTTTTGCCTTTTTCAGTATGTCATGTGAAATGGCATCATATTGACTGTAGCCTTTTGAATTTGGCTCTTTTACTTAGAATAATACATTTGAGGGCTGGGCAGGTTCGAGACCAGCCTGGACAACTTGGTGAGACCTCACCTCCACAATAAATTAAAAAAATAGCTGGGCATGGTGGTGTGTGCCTGTAGTTCCAGCTACTTGGAAGTCTGAGGTGGAAGGATCAGCTGATCTCATGCCACTGCACTCCAGTCTGGGCGACAGAGTGAGACTCCAACTCAAAACAACAACAACAAAAGAATAATACATTTGAGAAACATTCCCATTGTGTGTATCCGTAGTTGGTTCCTTTTTTAGTTTGAGTAGAATTCCATTGTACAGATGCATCTAATACTTACCAGTTGCAGGATTCAAATTCACTTTTTAAAAAATCACGGCGCCTAGTTTGAATGGAGTGACATGGGGTGGGGCCGGGGGCTCTCCAGCACTGCTGTGTCTTCACAGGCCTTCTCCCTAGCTGGGCAGACCGATGGAGACAAGGACTATGTCTTTGTTCCGGCACCTAGCTTGAGCCAGCTGGCTCTCAATGGAGGAACCAGAGCCATCTGGGGGCAGATGTGGGAAAGAACGTGGGAAAGCAGGGCCTGGTGCAGTCACGGAGCACCATGGCGCAGAAGTGGGTAGAGATTGAGTAACTTGGCTTTGGGGAAGACAAGAGAAGGCCTGCTTCTGAGAGCAGAGCAATCTAGAATGTCTGACCTTAACTTCAACTTGGAGTAGAGATGTGTCTGTGAGAGTGTGTGTGTGTGTGTGTGTGTGTGTGTGTGTGTGTGTGTGTGTACTAAACCAAACACCCTCGCGTGCTCTCTAATTGCAACCTCGATAGGAAACCAAGTCCACGGATGGCAGGTGCCCTTGAGACCGCAGGTCCTGGCCTGGCCGACAGATGGCGATGATGTAGCGTGTCTGGGTTCTGCCACTGCGGTCACCCCATTGCCCATTCCCCGATGCACTCTGGGCCTGAGTGACGGTCGCCGCGTACATAAGCCGTATTTTATAGGCAAAGGGTTCACCCATGTTCCTGAAGCTACGCTTCGCAGAAAAAGGGCTCAAGCCCAATTTTCCCGTGCTCTTTCCTGCTTGTGCAGCCTCTATCTCTAGAGAAGATGACAGTTTGTTGAAACTTCGAGCTTGGAAGAGGTCTCCAAGGTAGAGAGGGGACAGACAGCCATAACCACCGGCGCGGCCCTGTTCTGACTCTGCCTCCAATTTTCCTTTCCTCCGTGATCCACAGTCTCCACGTCTAAAAAAACTGAACTTCTGGCTTTAAAATATTTGGTGCCATGGTGAAGACTAGGACGACAAGGACACACAAGCTTACATTCTGCTAATCCTTCTAGGCATGGTGCACTGGAATGGCTGCTGTGTGACCTTGAGGTGGTATACACAGGACGTGCTGTTAAAATATTGAAATACTTCTCTTCTATTTGATCAATTGCTATTGACTCAGCCAGATAAATACAAGACATCCAGTTAAATTCGAATTTCAGATAAACAGAAGATAATTTTTAAGCCTGTCCTAAAAACCACCTAGGACATGTTTATACTAAAATTTTTTTGATGTTTATCAGAAGTTTAATCTAACTAGGTGTCTGGAAAATTGGCCAGCCCACAGGACGCCCCTCTGCCACAGCTCTTCCCCTGGGATGCCCAGATCTTTACCCTGATGGACTAGTGCCCGGTTTAATTGGTTGTTAAATGTTTTGACTATCACCCTGACTGCAGGAGAGGCAGCCAAATGCAACAGCTGTTCTTTTTCCCTCCTAGGCCTGGCACTCCTGCTGCCCCCAACCACCCTGGCAGCCTTGGCAGACAGCTGGCTTCGAGAGGACTGCCCAGGGTTCAACTATGCAGCCTTGGTCACGGGGGGCAGCCCCCACGCAGGCGGTGCTATGGGCCAAATCCCCCGGGGTACTGGCAGGGCGGCCTTACTTTGATGCCATCTTTGCTCAACTCAACTGCCAGGTCTCCTGGTTCCTTCCTGAGGAATCAAAGCTGGTGCCAGTGGTTAAGGTGGCCGAGTTCTAGGGCCCTGCCCACTGCCTGCTGCTGGGAGAACGCGTGGCCCTTAACACACTGGCCCGCTGCAGTGGCATCGCCAGTGCTGCCACCACTGCTGTGGAGGCCGCCAGAGCGACTGGCTGGACTGGGCATGTGGCTGGCACAAGGAAGACCACGCCGGGCTTCTGGCTGGTGGAGAAATACGTGCTCCTGGTGGGCAGGGCCGCCTCACACCGCTATGACCTGGGAGGGCTGGTGATGTTGAAGGGCAACCACGTGGTGGCAGCTGGTGGTGTGGAGAAGGTGCTTATCCTGCCTGGCCCTGGTCCAACCCTCACCCTCATCACGCCCTTTCCCTCCACCCCCAGTCACAACCTGGCAAATAGCCGTGGCCTGGAGTCAGGGATGCCAGACTCCTCCAGGCTCAGCTGTTCTGTCTGTAAAATGAAGGGGGGAAGCCAGATGTTCAAGAGCATAGGACGCGGGGAAGCCAGTGTCGATGGTGCTTCAACCTTGGACCCACCACTCGAAGCCTCTGCTCGTTTCCCCATCTGTGAAAGTGTCTTCAAAGACCCCTTCTAGGCTGGGCACGGTGGCTCATGCTTATAATCCCAGCACTTTGGGAGGCTGAGGTGAGAGAATTGCCTGAGCCCATGGGTTCGAGACCAACCTGGGCAACTTGGTGAGACCTCATCTCTACAATAAATAAAAAAATTAGCCGGGCATGGTGGCTCATGCCTGTAGTTCCAGCTACTTGGAAGGCTGATGCGGAAGGATCACCTGAGCCCAGCAGGTTGAGGCTGCGGTGGCTGTGAGCGTGCCACTGCACTCTAGCCTGATTAACAGAGTGAGACTCCAACTAAAAAAAAAAAAAGACCCCCTTCTAATTTTAATATTAGAGGTCAGTATTGCTGATATTTTGCCACTTTTGGACCCCCCAAAATGGTCATTTTAACCTAATATAAAACATCCTGATGTCCAGTTTCCTCATTAACCCTGGCCTCATTATCCAACTTATTTATTTATTTATTTTTGAATTAGAGTCTTACTCTATTGCCCAGGCTGGAGTGCAGTTCACCACAGACTCTTGGGCTCAGGTAAGCCTCCCACCTCAGCTTCCTGAGTAGCTGGGACCGCAGGATCGCCATCACACCCAGCTAATTTTTTTTTTTTTTTGTAGAGACAAGGTCCCTCTATGTTGCCTAGGCCAGTCTCAAACTCCTGGGTTCAAGCGATCCTCCTGCCTTGGTCTCCCCAAGTGCTGGGATTATAGGCTTGAGCCACCGTGCCTGGCCCAGCTGGGGCCTTTTGTATGCCAGTCCTGACTCCCTGTGCCCCAGTGCCCTTGTCTGGTCCCTGGTCCTCACCCTCACCCTCCTGGCTGCCTGGCAGGCGGTGCAGGGGGCCTGGCGGGTGGCCGACTTTGCCCTGAAGGTGGAGGTGGAGTGTAGCAGCCTGGAGGAGGCCATGGAGGCGGCTGATGCGGGCGCCGACCTTGTCCTGCTGGACTACCTCAGGCCGGAGGTGAGGCAGGCTCTGCTCCCCGGTAAGGGGCACGTGGTGGGCTCTCATCTTCCCTTGGCTTGTGTCCTGCAGGAACTGCACCCCACAGCTGCTGCGCTGAAGGCCCAGTTCCCCAGCGTGTCTGTGGAGGCCAACGGGGGCATCACGCTGGACAACCTCTCTCAGTTCTGCGGGCCCCACATTGACGTCATCCCTTTGGGAATGCTGACCCAGGCTGCACCCGCCCTCGATTTCTCCCTCAAGCTGTTTGCTGAAGGGGCCACTCCAGTGTCCCGCACCCGCTGCTCCTAAAGCCAGAGAGGACGCCACTGGCAGAGGGTTAATGTGGCTCTCTGAGACCCTCGAGGTTGTTCATCTTAAGGGTCAGTGAACAAGAGGGCACACTTGGTGTCAGTCTGAGCTCAACTCTGCTCTGCCATCTGCTGCTCTGAGACCTGGCGGGCCTGCCTTCCTCTTTGCTCACCTCAGTTTCCTAATCTGCAAAATGGGTCTAATAAAGGATCAACAGTATTGGGGGGATGTTGGGTGATAATTAACACGTATTTGTGGGGGTCCAGCCCCTACAAGGGTTGTGAGGTTTCCTGAAGGAGAGACGGATTGGTGAAAGACGAAAACATTATACTCGGACACCTGCTTCTTGAACAGATGACAATTTAATGTTAGTTAACACAGAGCTTTTATACCATTCGTAAAGGGGCAAGAAAAAGAAAATTCCTTCACATACATATGCTTTAAAAGTTACCACCATCTAGCGGTCTTAGCAACAAACAAGCCAAGAACCCTATAAACATTCAGACAATGAGTCTTATTCATAAAGCCAAAAATGATAGTTTTAGTCCAAAGTCCCGAATTACAGTCCTTGAAATGTCTCAAGAAAGTTTTCAAGTGTACATTTCTTCGTGTGTCAGTTTTCCCATCTGGGGCTTCTATGACCTTCAGAGCTTTGTAATCGCCTCTCCTGTCCAGGTGTCTCCGTTACTCTTCTCTTATCCTGCAGTGTTTATTTCTAAAGAGAACTCAAAAGAAGCTTTTAGTGATGTTTTCCCAGGCCCCCAAAGTTGCTCTCTGTATTTAGTTAATTTATCATAAAAGTATCCAATTAGTATATTATGAATTCAGTGAAAACCCACTCTATAAATGTTAACTTAGAGTTTTAACTATTGAATTAAGTAAAAACCTTAACGATTAATCTTTATCGTAAGTCAGTGAAAACAGTGTTATAAATCACCTACATAACTCCTAGATAAGTGTTAGAACTTATAATGAATTCATAATGAACTTACTATAAACTTGTGCTTCTAAAGAACCTTATGTCTAAACACTAAATTGCACAATCCTAAATCAAATGAGTGAATATACTTATATCATTTATTACTCAAGCAATATCTAGTAACTTATAGCCAAGTGAAAAAAAGCATTCTTGATGTGCTTCAGAGTTTAACCCTTGCATATGTAGAAAAGGCCAAGCGGCATAGTGGGAAAATGGAAAAATGAACCATGACATTCTCAAGTTAGCTGTGAGGACTTCACATAAACATGCCATTTTCTTCTTCCACGACTGCACAGAATTCTTCGGTGGTACCAAACAGCAAAGGTGGGAGACAGAAGGGCCTCAGCTTCCTGGGCTCACCCTGCGGCCCGGGGTCTTCTGCCTACCAGGACTTTGTCAATCAGGGGGGCCTCCAAGGCTGGCTCCCAACACATATTAAGTGGTCAGTAGATGTTAGAAATTACTGCAGCTCATATATTCTAAGATGCACTTTTTTTTTCACATTAACTTCTCTGAAGTCAGGGTGCCTTTTTATTTATTTATTTAGTCTAAGTCTCACTCTGTCACCCAGGCTGGAGTGCAGCAGCATGCTCACGGCCACCGCAGCCTCTGCCTGCTTGGACTCAGGCTATTTTCCCACCTCAGCCTTCCAAGTAGGTGGAACCACAGGCTAATGCCACCACACATGGCTAATTTTTTTATTTATTGTAGAGACGAGGTCTCACCAATTTGCCTAGGCTGGTCTCGAACCCCTGGGCTCAGGCAATCCTCTTGCCTCGACCTCCCAAAGTGCTGGGATTATAGGCTTGCACCAGCGCCCGGAATATGGTGTCCTTTTAATCTGCGATGTCTCATGGCTACTGTTGGCTGGGCAGCTGTCAGACACTCTTTGTGGCCTGTGCATGCATTTCATACAGAAGGTCCCTGACTTACGATGGTTCAACTTAGGGTTGAAATAGTCCAAAAGAGCTCTTTTAACATGTGTAAAATAGAAATCACAAGGGATGAAAGGGCACTGGTCACAGTTTAGCGACAGTTTTCTTTTTGAGCAATAATGTGTGTGTTTTACAATCAATGACACTGTATATCTGACAATATGTGGTGCCAGGTCTGCTCTTCAGCTGTAACATTCACTTGGCTGACGCCCATGTTTTGCCAGTTATTAAGAATTATGCCTCTCACCACTGACTGCTGTTGTTAGCTCTTTGGTGGAGCAGAGAGCCTGTCCAATCCTCACTTCTAGGGTCTCTGTCAGACTCCATCATGCATCTTCTCTACAATGAGGGATCCTTCTGGTCAGGTGTGGTGACTCATACTTGTAATCGGCACTTTGGGAGGCCAAGGCAGGAGGATCACTTGAGGCTAGGAGTTCTAGGCCAGCCTAGGCAACATAGAAAGACCTCGTCTCTACAACAAAATCAAAAAATTAGCTGGCATGGTGGCATGAGGCTGTAGTCCTAGCTACTTGGGAGGCTGAGGTAGGAGGATTGCCTGAGCCCAGGAGGTTGAGCCTTTGGTGAGTCATGATGGTGCCACTGCACTCCAGCCTGAGCAACAGGGTGAGAACTTGACTGAAAACAAAAAACAAAAAACAGGCCAGGTTCAGTGGCTAAGCCTGTAATCCCAGCACTTTGGGAGGCCAAGGCGAGTGGATTGCCTGAGCCCACAGGTTCGAGACCAGCCCGGGCAACTTGGCGAGACTTCATCTCCACCATAAATCAAAAATTAGCCGGACTTGGTAGCGCGTGCCTGTAGTTCTGGCTACTTGGAAGGCTGAAGCGGAAGGATCATCAGAGCCCAGCAGGTCTACCCTGGGGTGGTCGTGAGCATGCATGCCATTGCACTCCAGCCTAGGTGAAGGAGTGAGACTCCAACTCAAAAAAAAAAAAAAGTTTAAGCCAAAAAAACAAAAACAATGAAAGACCCATTCAGTGCTGAGAGTTTCTAGCGTCTGTTCCATGGGGTTAACATTTGTTGGGGGAAGATGTGGGTACAGAGCAGCTAAGGTCAGAGCAAGGGTCACTTGAGAGAGTCAGGGATGGGGAAGGGGGAGAGAGTCCATGTTCAAATGTCACACTTCCTCCCTCACGAAGTCAGGACTCAGGGACCTAAGCAGAGGACCTAAGTTCAGCTCCCCAATGGCACACACATACCTGAGTTCCCACTCACCTCTGTGGCTGCCCCTACCTGCACCTCAAGCCTAGGCTCACCTCTCTCTAGCCCTACTAGGTTGCTCTGAGAGGAGCAGGGACCTGAGAGGTCCCTAGGCGAAGGTGGTCCCCAAGGTGACTCCTCCCACAGGGCTCCATCTGGGGCTGCCTCTCTCCTCCCCAAAACTGTTAGTCTTCTCTACCTTTTGCCAGAAGGAGAGAAAAACAGCTCTCACCCACAAAAACTTTTTCCTGGGGTATCTCTGGAGGCCCAAGCCTGCACTGAGGGAGGTATCCCGTCCCTTTGTCCTTTCCTCAACCCTGGAAACCAGCAAGGGGCCTGGGAAAGGGGCAGATCAAGAAAATGATGAGCTAATTTCAGGGCAAAAGCCCCGACCTGCTAATCTCATACCGAAGGCCCCAGTCCGGCCGAGACCTTCATCCTTCATGCACCAAACTCGCACTGAGCTCCTGCTGTGGCCAGGCTCTGGGTAGGCAGCAGATGGAGAGTCATTGGACAGAGATGCTTGACCAAGCTGGACGCTGCCTTTGGTGATGCCCCGACCCAAAAGGGCCAGTCCCACAAGACACAGCCCAGCAGTGCCACCTGGGGCTTCTTCTGACCTCTCTAATCCCCACCCCGCCCTGTATGCTCCTGTCCTTCCTCCAGGAAAACATGCAGGCACTCAGGCAAACCCCAGCTCCTCATACCTGAAAGGGGAGAACTGAATCTCCATAGAACTGGGGACACCCTGGGCAACAGGGCAGGAAAGTTGCTCCCAGGAGTGACCTGGGAACTGGAAGGCGGGACATCTGGGATCCAGAAGCGAATCAACACCTGACAGAGGCAGAAGTGAGGAGTGTTTTCCAGGAGCCACAAACTCAGTGCCTCCAGGATCCAAGTGAGTAAAATACAATGGGTGAGACTGAATGAAGACAAAGGGGAGTGGGCTGTGGCCAACTGGCAAGCGGATGTTGCGTCCATTCCAATTTTAAAAATTAGCTGGGCGTGATGGCACATGCCTGTAGTTCCAGCTATTTGGAAGGCTGAGGCAGAAGGATCTCCTGAGCCCAGCAGGTCGAGGCTGCGGTGGCCATG